GAGCTATTGCAGGATAAAGAAGAATTCCTACCAACTGGTGTGACAAGAGAAAACAGAACTGTAGTTAGGACTTGAGTATCATAGATTAAACTGGGTTGGCCACCCAGTTTGAACTTTATGTATGCCGAATAAGTGTACTGTATTTCCTACTATTTATTTCCAGCAAGCGAATAAGAATACTGCAATAGAGTATCAATGGATGTTTACTTGAAATGGTGTATCCTTTATCATAGACTTGCCTAGGTTTATGATACTTTCAATAGTACAGTGTTAGCCGTTGTATAATAAAAGTTGAGTTGATTGTATTACACTGCATCCGAGCAAATTCTTTGGAACTTTAGGATAAAACCTGGGACCCGGTATTAAGACCGGTTACACCTTCATATCCTTTGTCAAGAGCTGTTACATTAAATTTAACTTACGTTGAAGTTAAGTTTAAAGGAAACAGCAATCCAAACAACATAATGGCCCCTAAAGAAAAAGCTCCACAAATGTAGGAGAATGCAATTTACAGTTTTTTTTATATCACTTTTCATTCTCTAGATATTCAACTTTATATCAGTACTGTAAAATGACTAATTTTCACTGGGTTTAAATTTCACTGATTTGCCATTTCAGGCATATTCAGTGGGTTTTAAATTCACGGTTTCGTCATTTAGATAATGTGTTCTATGCTAAATTTTACATATTCACTGAGTTTTAATTTAGCGCATTTTCCAGTCAGCGAAATAAGCTAAATTAAAACCCAGTGAATAATTACCCCCTTTACAGTATTATGTAGTCAGCCATCTTGATTCTCAAGCAAAGGATTATGGGTAAAGTATGACATCATGGAGTCTGTTGCCAGAAATTGAGAAAATTATTTCATCTATAACTTCAAAATCATTTATAGTCTGCTCTGACTTCCACAGTAAATGTTGACGGAAATTTCAAATTTTTTGATCAAAAACTAGAAGTAATGTCACATTTAGTATGCTTGGCTCAAAATCTGGTTAGAATTAATTGAAAATTACAGAAAATGTGAAAAAATTCTGCATGGTGAAAAACGTTATTTTGAAATTCTTACATCTGTCATATCTTGACTGACTATTTCCATTTCTTCATGGTAGTCAGTGACTTTCTCCAAGTCAGCCGCACCGCTGTCATGTTTCTTAGCTTTGCTGCTACTCACAGCCTGCTTCTGTTCAACATCACCGTCACTGTAAAATAATACGCACATGTATAGGGTTAGTCCACCATTAATGCGACTAAAATCCAACTAAGATAAAAGATCCAGTCATCAGTATTCTGTCAAAGATGAAATATTCAGCAGATTTGATGCTGCAGGGATATGGTTTTAAATTAACTAGTTTTGGATTTTACCTTCCATGCGCAGACTGAGTACAAACTAAGACATTACACCAAGCTTTATTTAGGTAATTTTTGGCGATTGGATAGTATTGAAGGAGTTACCGGCGGTACAGGAATTTTTTTAAACATGGGAAGAGGGGCACAGCACCCTCATACCATAGTCATGTGCCTTCTTACTCTGGGGAGCAGATCCTCTAGTAACCATAAAATTCTGATTGGCCTGGGATCACATGTGGCCACAGTCTTCCACTGTGACCTGTCTGATAATAATTTTGGCCCAAAGGAAGCCATATAATGCTCCATTTCAACTTAGAATTATCAAAAACTCCACACCCTGGTAGGGAGAACCCTATCTCCCCCACTTGCAGTTTTTTTTCTAGAAAAAAACCTGATTAGTGCATGGTCAAATCTCATACTCTTGATTAAATTAGATGAGTGCATTGGATTGTAGGTAAATCAACACAGATGTTCCATATGCGCGGCACAACAACTTTTATCAAATTTTATCTATTGGCTCCAAAATTAGGGTGCATTTCCAGAAAAATTGAAGAATATAAAAAAAAGTGCAGAAACATTTGGGCGAAAAAGTTAATGACCAATAAATGTCAATGTACATTCAAAGCTATACCATAACTTGTCTACAATCGCTGAGATCATTTCTTAGATGCTTGCGTGAAACAAGAATTAGAGAAAATCATGAACTAAACCACAATCATTTGAGGAAATTACCAAAAATGCTCATTACCAGTATACAAGGTAGTTAATAGTTTTAAATCTTAGAAAAACAGCCACCAATCAGAACCCACGTTATAGTACACTTTCTAGTAGTCACATTATAATTGGTTGACAGCCTCCTAAGGATTAGTGCTTTATTATTATTTGGTAAGACGCAGTTTTAATTCCAAATTTTCGAGTTCTCAATGGCAGCTTATTTACATATGCATTTCAAGGTTTCGCCGTGCAGGGACATACTCTTAGTGGGGTTGTTGTTTGCTGTTCACAGAAGCGTAACAACGGAAAATTTGCATTCGAAAAAAGTTTCTGAATCATGACAGTTTCTATAAGAACGAGGAATAACTTGTTGTAATACACAAAAGGCCAAGCTGATTGAATTTGTGGAACTTGCAAATGAGTTAAAAGTTCGCCCTTTAGAGCCTGACGGTCACAAAACCTCAAGCAAGCATCGTCGTACAGTTCAGGACAAGAAATCTACCCTGACATTAGAAGATCCGTATACTATCAAAACATAGGAAAAATACCTCCATTACATGCCATCATTCAAAACTGCAGATATATTTGCGTACTTAATACTCGATGTGACTGGACACCGTCCAGGTTAAAAGAATATCGATATGACAATGGTTTTCTTCTGTACAAATATGGACATATTGTTTCCGTCAAGCTTCAACAAAGAAACTAAAGTTATTTACATCATGGCTGAGTGTGTTCGAGAAACATCCCAAAAAGAAAAACCTTACTAATGCTGGTTTCTGGTTAAAACAAGTTCAGAAATAATTTCCGGTGGCTGTAATTGCATTGCATGAGTCAGTTTTCCTCTGAGAACTCATGCTACAACCACATGTTGGATCCAATGTTAAACTCAGTAACAGAACCATCAACAATTCCGGATTTAGGCAATAAATTCAAATCTTCAAGTGCTACTAATTTTATACAGTACATGACAAATAAACTCACTGTGTCCGACATTGAACTAATGACATCATTTTCATTAAATCAGCGAAACTCGTCGCATTGGTTTTATCAAATTTTTTTTTATGGCACTGGAAGAACAGCCAGGAGCATTGCAATACCAATTTATCATTGTGATTATTGTGTCCTCGAAAGTTAGCAAAGAAATTCACTTTGTGTGCACCAGCAAGTAAATGCTTAAGCTGTGGTTATTTTAACCCCACTCAATTACTGTTGAAAATCACACTTTATGCTGTTTGAAAGTATATCTTAGCAACCTAAATAGTAAAATTACCAAATTTTTGCAAACACAGCTAGAGGTACTCACGGAGAGAGCTCTATAGAAAGCATGTGTATATCTGTCTATTCATTGCAGAAACAAATCCTGTATACATTTTTTTGACATGCGCCCTCTATTGACAAATTGTGGCAAATGAACAAGATAGTTGTGCATGATAAAAGTAATGCTTGTATTGTAATCTGTCAAGGTATACTGTAAAGGGGGTAATTATTCACTGGGTTTTAATTTAGCTTATTTCGCTGACTGGAAAAATGCGCTAAATTAAAACACAGTGAATATGTAAAATTTAGCATAGAACACATTATCTAAATGACGAAACCGTGAATTTAAAACCCACTGAATATGCCTGAAATGGTAAATCAGTGAAATTTAAACCCAGTGAAAATTATTCATTTTACAGTATATCATTTTTGTTCACAGTATTTCATGACTGTGTACAGACACTAATGAGATGCTAAATGTTTGGGGGTCAGGGGTTAAAATTTGATAAATATGTATCATAATTTCAGTTGGTGAGAAAGCAAGTTTTGATTCTATGTTACATTCTTTGATATTGCTTATCAGCAGGTGGTAGTAAATGGTCTATACCACAACATAACATAGCATTAATTATCACAAATATTTTTTTTTATACATATTTTTATTTTTAACATTTCCAGATGGTTAATTCATTGTTGTCTCTCCTGACTTTTTTTGTCTTAGGTGATTATTGCAAGTACATGCATTCAAACCAGTCTCCCAAACTTAATACTGTGTATATGGAAGGAAGGGAGGGCAGACTGTACTCAAAGTTAAACAGCTAAACAGTCAGCTCTGGGAAACAAACATAGAACCTTCCTAGTGTGAGGCAAACTTGCTAACCACTGTACCAACACTAATCACTATAGGAGAGAGTATAGAAGAAAAATATATACTGTAAAATACTTTATTTTCGCTAGGAATAAATTTTCGCTATTTTCATTGAAGGAATGGTTCAGTAAAAATAAAATCCAGCGAATATATCTTTTTTCTTATATTTCACATTCAACTTGTCAAAAATCAGTGAAAATAAATTCCACTCGAAACACCCCAAAAAGTTCTTTCAGCGAAAATTAATTCCAGCTAAAAATAAAGTATTTTACAGTACAATAATGTACCTCAGAAGATTGAAAATGGTGCACTTATAGTCTATAGGCATGCACCATTTTTTTTTTACCACAAATTATTCAAAACATGAAAGCTCATTCATGATAACACATCTTCATAAATGTTTTTCAATGATAAGGCAATTGTTTTCTGGCAACGACTAAAAATAGTTTAACTTTGAATAGTGTTTTGAGTTTTTGATCAGTGGTGAAACTCAAATTGTACATGGTGCCATTTTCAATCCTCTTCGGAAAAAATTCCTCACTCCTAACCTGAACCCTAACATTTCAATGTAATTTAATATGCCCCTCCAAATAATTTAAGTGACCCAAAAGAGGGTAATATACAATTGAAATGGAGGAGGGGTACTGGAGGGGCAGTGTTAGAATAAAGAGTTATGGGTGAGGAGAAACTCTTACCCATCTGTTATATTTGTATTAAATCAATAAACTAATTGACTGCACTCGCTCACAGGACGTTACCTGCTACATATTATTTCACTCACTAAACAATACATGTATTTCATTAAAATATGTGATTAAAAAGCAACTTAAATAGTAAAAAGAATCAACTTCCGTGTATAAACACTAGTGTAAAGAGGCAGCAGAGGGCTATTTTGGTAACCGGAGAAGTGGGCCAGCAAATTCGTCGGCGAAGTGGGACAGTAGGAAAAATGGGCCAGGGGAAGTGGGCCAGTTATGGGGTGAGCCAGCAAATTCATCGGCGAAGTGGGCCAGTAGGAAAAGTGGTCAGGGAGCAGTGGTTCAGTTATTTGATCACCCCCCTAATATGATATACACAGCGAATATCAACCAATATTTAGTTGTAATACGTCAAAAACAACTTGTACAGATGCAACACCTACCATTTGACTTCATTATATGATTTTTAGTCAAGTTTTTTTAACCAACGTCGCCATGAAATGATGAAGATCCCCCACCGGGGATCCCGGCACCACAAATATGTTAATGCATATAGTTTATGTATAAATATATATATATGTGTGTGTACATTCTGCATGCTAAGAAAGCTTCATTAAATATGCTAGCGGTGCTGACATTGCTGCTGTAATTTCTTTGTGCTGTCAATAAACAGATCGTACTAATTACTGGAGACAATCGGAAAAGAATAACTGATGCGTGGGTCAAAGGCAGCAATCTATGTACTGCATAATGTTGGTTTATGCTTATATTGGTAAAAAAGTAGCGAATTCTGACAGCTATTCACTATTTTCCGGATTGACACCTGGGCGTTCTTGCGAGTCGAGTCCGCCATGTTGTTTACTGGTGTTATCTATCATTCAATACTGGACTATACCATTTGATTCACAGGGACAACAACGCACCTCTAAATAGTGTCGGCTCTGGTATACAATACATTTGATATGTGATAGTATAAAATAATTTAATTCGAAATAGCTGTATGAATACCGTAATGTATATCAATTCTTGTAGTGCAATTTTATAATAATAATTGTATTCATATGGTCTATATGACGTCTTAATGCTTGTTAATATAGTATCTGGCCCACTTCGTAACTGGCCCACCTTTCCTGCTGGCCCACTTCGTAACTGGCCCACCTTTCCTGTTGGCCCACTTCGTAACTGGCCGACCATTCCTGCTGGCCCACTTCACAACTGGCCCATTTTTCCTGCTGGCCCACCTTTCTTGCTGGCCCACCTATCTTGTATTCGCTATTTTAGCCAAAATCGGCGAATAAGGCTTCATATGACACAGGTCTGTGCTGAGACAGCGCTTCCTGTGACGACACAGTGATTAGTTTACGCGCAATTTGAGCGCGATTCAAGATTGGGGCACGCACGATTCGTGTTTCGCCGCTGATCAAAGGGAAGTTCCGCCGGCGGTGGCGGTGGTTTACGTAACTTGGACCTCTGAACTGTATTTTTCGAGAAAATACAGTTGGTCATCACTGAATTGTGGATATTAAGTAGTGGTGAGACATTGTTGAACAGAGTGAAATTGTCAAGCAAATTGATGTCTCAGGCAATGGAATCGTTGAAATCTGGAGCATGTTCATGATTCTTACCTTGGAGTCGCCATTTTGTAGAATGTTTGTTCGTTGAACGATATTAAATAACTCCAGTGGGAATACAGAGTTTGTAGACATATCCCGAAAACTAAGATAAATAAATAACTCAGACTATCATCTTTTTTGTAAAAATCACACGATAATTGTAATTTATTACATTTTGCGTAAAAAAGAAACATTTTTATTATAATAACTTTATTACGCAACTTAACCATCTGTGGGTTTAGTAATGTAAAACATGATTACAAAAGACAAATAAAATAAGACACACTAAAACACTAAAATTAAAATACACTGAAATTCAACAAAAGAAAGAAATACAAATTAGAACTCCGAATGTTGATTGGTCAATATTGTGGGTGTGTTGGAGGCGTTTTCCCGAGTTTACCATTGAGGGCGTTGGATATAAATTTCCATGACGTCACGGAAAACTACGCTTTCAACTCAACTGACTGTGGAGTTCGGTGAAGCTGTTATTGTCTGCATTCACACGAGTATAATCCATAATACCGCTAAGTTGCACATCATAGACTGTGTTTTTTCCATCAAGGAAACGCGATTTTATCAAATTGTCGTCTCCGGTTGCAGAATTTAGGGTGGAACTGCGAATACAACTGGCATCATCGAACGAAGCCATCGAATATCATTGCAGAACTGACTGTTATGACTAAGAAGTTGTGCAGTTTTTTGTAAAAATTATATAATTGCATCGGTGTGGAGAAAAAAAAAACAACACCCGAAGACCCGAACAACGACACCAAAGCTCGTAATCATCATCTAGTTTTATATTGATAATAACACCGGCCGGACTTCGGCGGTTGTGTGACGTAGGCGGTGTACGTGCAAAACAACAACAACATTCAGTCTGCAAGCCGTCCACGCAATCACTCAGGCTATTCTCTCTCCGCGAATATCTCCCGTTATTGGCATGAACACTAGGCTCTACTTATCATTACTGAACACGCAACCAATAAGATAGACTCTTCTCTACAAATCTACAAGACTTTTTAGTTAATCCATCAACATGGTCAAGCTTATACGATGCTTATACGGGTCGCTCAAGAGCCTTCCTGCTCGCATGGACCACTATTCACGCTTTTCTCCATCTCCGCTGTCAATCCAACAGTTCCTAGACTTCGGTAAGAAATCACAATTATTCAGCCACCGTTTTAAATAGTTAAAACTATACTGTATTTGGAAGCGTAAAATATCAATAATTCAGTAAATTGAATATTATGATCAGTAATAATACAATCAGACGCGCGTAGCAGCTGGGGTCATGTTTATGTTTTTACCGTGTGTTGTGTATGCGGTATTACACTGAGTCTCGTGATGCGATTGATAATGATATACATTACTAGTATGTACCGGTAATAAACGCGTAATATGTTACTGTTTAATTGCTGGTTTTTAGTCGTACCGTGTAGGATCATAATGTAGTATTGACGATTTACTTTAAAAATTCACAGGTTTTTTTTTTAACACTGCGCAGCAAAGTATGCGAAAAATAAGCTCGCCTAATAATTAACCGGTACTAGAATTTAAGAAATATTACTTTATGTTCTCCTGATTGATAATTGTTCATTACATTTTATTACAAATGCTAAATAATAATAATTGACAGTTTTTACTTTTTTAATCTACGTGGAATATTACAAAACTCAGAAGACAAGGTCATGAACTTACTAAATCCAAGGTGAAGGGCACAGTTATTTCGAGTTCCACATCATTATCTGAATTTAATTAATATATGCAGTAGAAATATTTCTTAATATAGATTGTCTAATTTTATAGAGATGAAATTCATTTTCACACTGCATGTGGGCAACTGGTCAATTGTCTTTCAGCCAGGTCACTTGTCACTGATCTTTATCTCTGTCTGTTACCTGTACAATGTTGATTTCATTGCAATGCCTCCCTTCAATGGTTATCAGCTTATCTAATATTAATGATGAGTACTATTCACTTGTGATATTAGGTTAATGTGACCTAGTTAATTGACTTATTGATATCGGTGTAATAAATTTGTTTTTATTTCTGTTTTTTTTGTGTGTGTAAAAAGCTCAAGTCAAAAGTCACTTGAAAATTTTAAACTAAATCAAACAAATTACTGCAGATCTTTCAACTTAATTCATTTATGTCACAGAGCATCCTGTTACACATACACTGTATGTGTGAAACTCGTTAGTACACATTTAGCATGATGACTTTAATTGCTCAATTGTGCTAACAAAAATTCTGTCTTGAAAACAATGGTGTTAAATTAATTAAAGGAGATGCACTATCTTGCTGTATAGTTTGCATTCAATACCACTTCAAACTGGTCTGTGATTGGAGGAAATATTATTGATCGCCCTCAAACTGTCCCATACTTCTTTACATTGATTCATAAGTATGTAATTTAAAAATATGATTGGTGTTCTCCCCTGGAACTGTAGAAAATGATAATCACCTCAAACTGTGTTTATTGTTATGATAAATAATCTAAATTTTGTTCCCACAATTCTGAAGTATTGGTGTTGGAGCTTCTTTTCTATAAGACCATGGAAAGATTATTCTGTGTTTTAAGTAACTGCTAACAAAATAGTGGGTAGGCATGAAGTATTTTCCCTCCCCCCTAATTCTCTGTATTTTAAATTAATAGGGTTATTTTTATCACAATCATGTAAGTGTATGACTCAATTGCTGTTACTATGGGTATTCATTATGGAGGATTTCACAAAAGTTAAGATCTAGTCATTTTCTACATCAAAAAAAAAAATAAAAAAAAAAAATGATTTTGTTAGTAGAGCTTGCTAATTAAAAAATAATAAAATAAATGAAAGCTAATTTTCATAAAATGAAAGTTTGAGTTCTGAGTTCAATCTGGAACACAATTAATTCTTTCCTTTGCCCCTGGAGTCAGCAGTCCATAGAATGAGAGACACTGGCACTGGCTGGGACATACCCTACGTCAACCAGTCCAAAACATCACAAGGGCAGCACTGAAATGGAACTCGCAGAGAAAACTGGGCCGTCCGAGAAACACCTTGCGATGGGACCTAGAGACTGATGTCTGGAAGCTGGGCTATATCTGGGGGAAAAGTGGAAAAACTGGCACAGGGACCAGTCTGGTTGGAGGAATCCTGTTCCAAAGAGGGATGATAGGCATAACTAATTTTGCCCCCGGGTGCAATCATGATCTATGAAAAAATCAAACCATTACAGTGTGCCCATTAACTTGGGTTAGAGCCACTGCCTGTCTATTATCTTTTGTTCATAAAAATAATTTCCCCAGCGTGCTAAATTTTTCAGGAGCTTATCCCTTATAGATATTTAGGTACATCTACATTCAGTCTTACCGGTATATTGATGGAGTTGACTTATCAATGACCTTTGAACTATAGAGGTCAGGATGCCATCTAGGGCTCTATATTCTACAACCAGGGCTTTGCTAAAATAGACTCAAAGTAGAACAAAAAGAAAGTAAATTATTCAAGAAATAATACCGGTACATCTCTAGCTATATGTTTTTGACTGTATTCGTTAAATAACTGTAGTGCATGAGCTTCCATAAATGAGATGTGTCTGATCAAAATAAGCCAATATTGTCCTAGCATACAATAAAAATAACATTTGATAGGCCAAGAAAAAAAAAATTGTGTTTTTATAACCTGACCTACCCTATTTGGTTTACTGCCTAACTGTAAGCGTTTTTTTGACCATACTGGTATTTGAGAAAAAAATGACAAAATTTTTTCAGGCTTTGAATGTGATTTTATAAAAATTCAAAAACTTTGCAAAAATAGGTAATGTAAACTGCTGCAACGAAGAAAAAGATATATAGAAAAATAAAAGAAAACATGAAAAGCATGTTACATTCAACCTTTTCACCACCAGTTCACAAATTCACAAAATGGTGTCGTTTATAGTATATTTTGAGTAAAAACCAAAAAAATTACTCAAATTGTGTCTGTTGGCTTCAAAATTAGGATTCATTTCCTGAAATATTGAAGAATATAAGAAAAAAACATTTGGGCGAGAAAGTCTTGTGGTTAAAAGGTTAATAGAGAATATATGATATTACCGGTATCATTGGCATATACGTCCTGGCAGTACAGTCCAAACATAACTTAAATTAACCTGCAAGCTGGGTATCAGCTGGATTTGTCCTTTCTTAAAAACCTCCAATTTACCTACAGTAAATATCCTTCTCAGCAACACATTCAACTTCAGTATTTACAGTAGTATTAACTTAATTTTGTTAAAAAAACATTTTGATTTCATTCAAATAATTATAAATTATAATTATGACTTATTTTGATCATAAAAAAAAAATAAAATAAAAAAAAATGGTGCATGTAAATGTATAACATTTTCTCACACATCCATTTCAAACATGTTCTTATCAATACGGCCATTTCTTTTCATTCCAAAAAACAGTTGACACATGTCTAAATGGTCATCACATGTAATTTACATTTAAATTAAAAACACTACCAGTAGGTCAAATTAGACTATACTGTAGAATACTTTATTTTCGCTTGGAATTTATTTTCGCTATTTTCGCTGAAGGGATGATTCCGTGAAAATAAAATCCAGCGAATATACATTTTTCCCTATATTTCACATTAATCTCATCCAAAATCAGTGAAAATGAATTCCAAGCAAAACGCCCAAAAAGCCTTTTCAGCGAAAATAAATTCCAGCGAAAATAAAGTATTCCACAGTAGTTATTTT